TGTTTCTCCTCCGTTTGTGTTTTTTTTTTTTTTTTTTTTTTTTTTTTTTTTGTACCAGGGATCGAACTCGGGTCCTTGTGCTTGCAAAGCAGGTGCTGGAACCACTGAGCTAAATCCCCAGCCCCAGCATGATGTCTATAATAATAACAATACAACCTGGATTGATAATTTGTGATGCAATCAAGAAATATGAAGACTATAGTTATCAATATGGCTTAATTTCAAGAATAATTTTGATTGGAAAAAAGTAATACAGAAGGCCAGGGGTTTAGCTTAGTGGTTCTGCTGAGTGCCTCTCAAGCGCAAGGTCCAGAGTTTGATCCCTGGTACCAAAAAAAAAAAAAAGCAATACAGATACTTTCATGTTTGTAGAAATACAAATATGTATGACAAAACTATAAATCAAAACAAATAATAATAATAATAAAATTCAGGATGGCAATTACCTCCTTAGAAGGAGACAGGATCACAGAGAACCTACAGAGGGTCTCAAAAGTAATGAAAATAATCTTGAAGAACATGGTGGGTACTCTGATGTGTCATTATATTATTAATCTTTATACTTTATTCATTTCTAAACATTATTTTAGATCTATTTAAACTTTTCAAATACAAGTAAAATATATGATTCTAAAATAGGAAAATGGGTCTTGAGTAATATTCTTTTCCTACCCGAAAAATCTTGTGCATCCTCATGGTGGCTGAACAAAAGATAAATCTTGTGAGAAGTAAGCGAAGGAATTCATCTCCAAAAAACTGGAGAAATGCCTGATCTGCAACGAGAAAAAGGTGACAGTAAAAGGAGGCTTTGTTTCAAAGAGGAGGCAACTTCAGGAAAGTCTTTTTGACTTTCCTGCCTGAGACAAATACCTTTAAAGACTCAAACAATTTAAAATAGGTAACTATTTTAAGCCATTATACTATATTTTGTTAAGTGTGCAGTTAGATTAGTAGGGTACCTATTGAACGTGAATGGGTCAGTAGCTGGGCAATATCACGGTTGATTTTTCGAAGATATTCTTGGCACTTTTCCCACAGACCTCTACGCATGCTTGACAATCCAGAGACAAACAGGAAGGCCATTAGAGGATTGTTCAAAAAGAGAGTGAAGAGGCTACCTCGTTGAGATTGATCTGCAATAACAAATGTTATATATATATATATATGATAGATAACAGTTTTAAGAGGGGTAAGAGATTTATATGAGGAATATTTTAATTTGTTGATGTTAAAGTGATATCACTAAAACATATCCAAAAGTGCAAATTTCCCATGAAACTAGAAATATACTCCATGCCTTCTGTAGAACTTAAGATAGAGCCCAGTAAACATTAAGAGGGATGGAAAAATAAACACATTCCTTACTATTTTTTATCCCCAACTAACAAATTTCATCCAAATATGACAAGCACTGACTTATAGTATGTCCGAGATAGAAGTCCCTAGAGTAGTAGAATTGCTAATTTTCTTCATTCTCCTTTATTTATTACTCTTTCTCTGCCTAATCCTTAAATATCAACAGTTTCTTTAGTCCTACACATTGCTGATCTTATCTGCACATAGGATTTTAATTACTGTTTATATGCCTACTGATTCCTAATTCTCATTGTGCATGCATCCTAGAGACACTCTTTAAATACAAACTGGATTTGAAAACCTTAGTATAAGAATACATATTGCCAATAGTTCTCTCTTTCTTTCCCTCCCTGCCTCTCCCTTTCTCTGTCCTCCCTCCCTCCCTCTCTCCCTTTTCCTCTCTCCCTCTTTGGATGGTGCTGGGGATTGAACCCAGGGCCCTCGCACTGAACGGCATTCTCAGTCCTTTGTCCCTTCTCTTAGTTTTGAGACATGGTCTTATTAAAGTGCCCAGGTGCCCTTGAACTTGTGATCCTCCTGCCTCAGCTTCAAATGTAAGGTACGATTAAAGGCATGCACTACTACGCTTGACTTCCTTTAATTTTTTAAAGAAGTGTATTTTTTCTTTTGTTTATTTACACTGACACATACATACTTTTACAAATTTAAGGGGTAGAAAGTGTTGTTTTGTTCTATTTTATTACACATTTATTCAATATTATCTTCTCAAAATGGGACATTTAAAAAGTCAAAGCAATTTTCATTCTATAAGCTTCATTCAACTTCATTTAGGGTTGAATACACATGAAATGTACTTTTAATGCATAAAAATCACAGTGGATAGCAACAAAGGACTGGGGAGGGACATAAGAATCTGTAGAATGTATTGTTTTGATACCTGTAACATGTAGAATGATCAAATCTGGGTAACTAAAAAATCTGTCACTTCAAACATTTGTCATTTCTTTCTAGTGAAACATTCAGAAACTTCTAGTTATTTTGAAACAACTATTTGTGTTAGTCACCCTTCTGTGCAAAACTTAAGAGAAGAAAGTATAATCATAGCGCATAACTTAACTCACAAAGAAAAACTTCTTACCAGCTGAAATAGCACTGTATTTTTATAACAAATAACTGGATTTCAAACACAAATAGCTGAGTTTCAGACAATCCCAGGCCACCAATGGATCAAACTATGTCCAGCCATGGCAAAGGCCCCATTAACTAAACAAGTTATTTTGTGTTCAGCTACATAAGCACACTGCCTTCTCTACATAGTAGAGCTCTCTAAACACTGTACATTTTGAGTGCTGCCTGATTCATGAATTGTTCTTTCCTCAAACCGTTAGATTTGTCTAGTTTCTCTTTTAACACGTAAGAGCACCATAGACACCATAAATGCAAAACATCCGAAATTGCATTCTTTTTCACAGAATTAGCAAATATGTATTGCCCGTTTCTTTTTAGATCATTTATTCCACTGATCTTTGTTTTTAGTTGCTAGCCTGTCCAAAACTTTAATCTTGCTTTTCTTCCTTCTGAGTTAGGAAGTTTAATGCTATCCATGGTGATACTCTCATCCTTGTCCTTAGACTGAACTGTCCTCTGAACTGTCTTAGGAACTTTCCTGAACTATCTTTTTCTTTTGAATCTGCCTGATTCATCTCAAATAAGATCATATCCATTTGTACGACTTTGCTGAGAGTCCCGTCAATATTGAAACAACCAGGGGAGTGGCTTCCATTGCTTTTTTGAGCTTTTTCTCTTGTCTGAGCTTTCTGTGGGAGAAAGTTCTGATCTAGGACTAGTAATAGACTCCTCTCTATCTGAAATGTTTGAAGAGTAGCTATTTTTCTGGAAATGGGCTTGGAGTTGATGAGTAACTTGCCTCATTCATGTACCTCCTTGGCCACTACCCACAATCAGCAGCTCTTTGGACACTGAGACCCCTGAGCACTGACAAAGAACTTGAGCTGGGACAAGGCTGATGTGGACCTCCATACCTCTGCAGCCAGCTAGACTTCCTCCCGTGATGACCACAACCACATAGCCTGCCGAGCACCAGTTCCAGGAACCTTGTCCCATGGTATGTGGAAATATTCCCATGCCTGACTTCTTAATTTTTAAAATGTGGTACTAGCTGGGCATGGTGGCATATGCCTATAAGCCCAGCACTCTGGGAGGCTGAGGCAGGAGGATTACAAGTTTGAGGCCACCCAGTGTAACTTAGGAAGAGCCTGTCACAAAATATTAAAAAATTTAAGCAAGGGAGGGCTGGAGATGTCAGTGTGAAGGCCGTGGATTTAATCAAGCCAGCTCCAATACCCCCCACGCCAAAAGGGTTTACTTACTCTACATTTCTATCAGGCAGGGTTGATCTAGACTCCTACATTAATTTAACTCTCAGAGTTATCTCAAACTCAGCATGTCAACAACTGAAAGCAAATTCTTTCCCCTTAACAAAGTTCTCACAAATATATTTCTCATCAAATCTCAATATTTCTACTGGTGCCAGAGACTCGACGTGTGTTCCTGACTTCTTGCCCAGCCCACCACAATACTACTATTTCACTCAGCTTAGGGTCTTTGAAGACGTAGTCACTGTCTGAACTCTGGGCACTGCGATCTTCCTACTTCCATCTGTGCTCCATTCCATTCTCTATGTGGATAACTGAATGCTCCCCTCTTAATATCCTGATGTTTCCCCATTGTTCCCCACTAAATCACATAACAAATCTTGAAAACTTTTCATCATTCACTCAATGCCCTTCAGCTAGAAGTAGCTACTTTAATTTCTCTAAATGCTCCCTAGGTTCTCTTATCTCAGGGTCACTGCACATGCAGTGTCTCCTCTGGAATACTGGTATTCAGTCACCCTTCACCCCCATACTAATCTGCATGCCCTGGATGGCCACACTGGACATCATCTCATCCCCCACTTCCACCTTCCGTATGTGCTCCTGTGTCACCTTCTATGAAACACTGTACCACTTATAGTACTTGCCTGTTAGGTTGTCTCACCTTCTACTAGACTGTGACTCTGGGAGAAATATAACTGGGTCTTATCAGTTTAAGAATGTACACCTCAGTGCCTACCACAGTGCCTGGCAAATTGGTGTTGAATAACAGTGTTGAGCAAATAAAGCAAGTCTTAGCTAATGAGAGAGCCACAGGCTTTAGATATTCAAAGTGCAGGAACCTTATCTGACATTCCAATTACTTAAACACCTTCAATTTTGTGCCTAGATAGTGGGGTAACTGTTTTTGCAGAAGTAACAACAATGCCATTGGATAAATTCTAACTTTCTCAGGAGGGAAATTTGAATCTATGTAACTGAATAACTCATTTAGGATATCTGAGGTCTAAGCTCCTTAGCACAAAAACAGGATACTAAACCAGAAAAGTGGTAAGGACATATATTACAAATATGTGCATTAATAATAATGATACCACATATGGAGTACTTTTTAATGTACCCAGTATTATTTTCTGAGGAAGGTATTATTATTATTATTTCCATTTGATAGATGAAGTAACTGAAGCACAGAATAGCTGAGTAACTTCTCAAGGTCACACACAGCTAGTTAAGTGGCGAGGCCAAGACTCAAATTCATTCGGTCTGTGTCCAAAGTCTGTGCTTTTCGCCTCCACACAATAGTGTTTCAGACCCAGTAATCTTGGTATTAACTCACTTGACCATGTAATTTAAAATAAAGCTATATCATCATAGGACGGATTGAGAGCAAAAAGCACTCTCGAGTACTTAGAAGGGGTTATACTCCTCCAGAAATGACAACAGGATGACAAAATCCTCAAAGCAGGAGAATTTTACCGTTGTTTGAAGGTAAGTTCTATCCCTTAGTAATTTTGCTTTTGAATATACGAACTTAGAATTTCTATATGTTTTTTTCCTGTTAAACAGCAGAACTTACCTTAAAACAACGGTGAAAGTCTCCAGCTTCTCTCAGGCATTCAAATGCTGACCATCACTTCCTGTGTCAAACTATGTCAGCAGACAGGACTTCTGGCTGGGAAGTAGCAGTAAAATGCCATCTCCCAGAGAGACATCAGCACTATTCACAGTTAGGGAGATAGTGAAACAGTGACAAGTACTGCTAAAACAGTGTGAAGGCTCTTTAGTATTCTATTTACTAAATGACTGGGAGTTAGAATTAGATTTTATATGTTACCTATTAAGGACAAATCACTAAGGGTAAAAAGTCTTTCAATTCTCAGCCATTAGGAAACTGACCCAAACACTAACTTGTCTCTCTGGAAGATTCAGAAGAGCTTTTCTTATTTAAGAATTAAAATAAAGTAAAAGGGAAAAAAATAAAGAAAAGAAAGAAAAAGAAACCCTTTAAATTGTACCAGTTAGGCTATCCTCTTAGACGTAGGCTGAGAGTAATCCTAGGGCACTTACTAATCTTAAGGTCTTAAAAGATGCCTAAAATATGTAATCAAAGATAAAGAAAATCAGGCTACATGGGTACGGCAAGCAAATCAAAACAAACACATAAAACAAAATTTAAAATTTATAAATCATGAGATTCCCACAACAGGGGACTAAAGCACCTCTCTCAGGGAGGAATTATCTCAATGCCTAACTGTAGCACATTAAGGAAGTCTGGTTGTTGGCAAGGCTTTCAGATTGACACCTGCCACATTAAACACCATCAATCCACACATAATCATTATGGAGGGAAAAACAAATATCAACATTATTCAAAGTATAGATAGCATTCATTCATATCCTATTCAGTAACAGGCACCAAGAGACATACCTTGTAAAGCTTTTGGATATGCCGTAGGAGAAAGCAAGCAGACTAGGGGCTGTCCAAACAAGTTTGTGAAGTTCTGTAATACATAAGAATTTAAAATCCTCATTAAAGATTTGACCAGTGGTAGTTACTTAGTAATTTTCCACAGTACATGATAAGTGCACAGATTGACTGGCTTTTTAAACACATAAGCAAATGTAGAAACAGCAGCAGCTGCACATATATCCTTTCTATCGAAGTTTATTAAGAGAAGCACTGCTTTTTATAAGCAAATGTATGGTTGTCATATTGCAAGGAGAGGTTTCCTGGCTGTCTACCAAGAGGCTACTCCACTGGGCAACATACACTGCATATTCCAGGATAAAATTTTCAAGATCTAGGATTTGGCTTTCAGTCACAAAGGTTCCAAACTCTGATTTACTAGTATGAGAGGACTGGATCCAAGTCTTATTGAGGATCATAGCAACTGCTCACACAGGACACTGTGTAACACTAGAATGTCAATGTGTTAATCTACAGTGAGAATTAGGCAAAGTATCCTCTTAAGGATTAAGGCTGATCTACACAAGAAGTAAAATCATAAACTCTTTGGTAAAATGACAAGAAAGGTAAAACTCCTAAGAATAAACTAAATATAAAACACATGTGCATGCACACACACAACATTTTTGATCTAGAAGACTCTCTCCTAATAGCTTAGTTTAGTTATTTTGAGTAGGCTGAGCAGCAAGCCTAATGATAGGATTGGGTAAAAGAGCTAATTCAAATACTGTAGCTGATCAATCAAGCAGCTGGTTAAGCCTAGAACTATAAAAGAAAATATAAGAACAAATGATAAGAGGTTGGGATGAGAACAGAGATAAAGACTCTTCCTTGCAGGAGGAAGAATTTTATCCGGGGTATACTAAGTTAATTACAGCTCTTCAAGAAATAAAAATTCAAGATAACCAGTTTTCTTTTAAACTCTTGAATTCACCTCCTTTGAAACAATTCCTTTCTCATGCTGTTTATTCAAACAAGCACAGGGCAAGGAGCACAGTTTAGATTTTCTGCAGGAATGCCCTCGCAATTGACATCACAAGATTTTTTTTTTCTTATTTCCAGTAAAACTCTCATAATTTCCCCCTGTTCTCAGAACCATGAGATCGGTTTTGTAATTTGAAATAGGGCAATTAGGGAAGATTATATAACAAGCTCCATTTGCTTACATATGTGCAGAACCAAGTGAGTACCTTTGGAAGAGGATTTAAGGGTCAGGAAACAAATCAAAAAGAGCCTGACCAATCTGAAGAATAGCAAAAGAGAGGATCAGAGGGGGTGTGCACATGGAAGCAGAAATATAAGGCACTTATTCTGAGTGAGATGAGAGCCACTAGAAATTTTAGGTAGACCAGGGACATAGCTGACTTACAAGCATACTTACTTCTAGAGGCGCAAAGGCAGAAGGAAGATTAGCTGGTAAGCTATGCAGTAACTCAGGTGAGTGATGAAGGTGGGATGGTCCAGAAGGACTGCAGTAGAGGTGATGAGATTTTGGATATTTAAGTCAAGAGGGATTCTTGAAAAGGATATGGGGTGGGAGGGGAAGAATACAAAGCCAAGCAGAAAACCAGGATATTGGCGGGGGCAACTACAAAAGCATAACAGCAACTAACTACAATGGGGGAGGATGGAGGCAGAAGTATGGTAATTGCATTGGGTATTGTCAGTTTGCAATTTCTACAGTCAAGTCTCCATTTAAGAGTGTGGTCTAGGCAGATGTTTAAGAAGAGTTCAAGAGGGCAGGGGATTTAGCTCAGTGGTTCCGCCTCCTGCCTTGCAAGTGCAAGCACCTGAGTTCGATGCCTGGTATCAAAAAAATAAAAAAGAATTCAAGAGAGAGGGGCCAAGGATTTAGCTCAGTGGTGCCGAACCTGCCTCAGAAGTGCAAAGTCCTGATCCCCGGTATC